GCTTCAACCATGTCAAACACAGACAAATCAACACGTCATTTTTTAAATTTATAAGTTGCAAATTCAAACAAATACTCTCGTACAGAAGGTCTACGGATGAAGAACTGAATAATTACATGTTACAGTTATTTCATGTAATGATTGTTGTGCTGTAATTTGTGAAAAGAAGACAGTCTTGTTGAAAGCCTAACGTTTAATTGTTGATGATCGATAATGATTGATCAGCGAGCAGGCGAGTGTGATTACGAGGAAATGATTGTACACTCCGTGGAGTTATTGACCCTATAGATCCGCAACTCCTGGCATATCGGTGTGAACAGACACATTATGACATGTCCGTATTGAACATTTTGTTATTGTCGTGATAGTGTAATTTGAATGAAGGAATATTAGATTGAAACAGTGTTTGTTACATAAGTTTTCAAGAAGTGAGTTCATGAATGAGTTCATGAGTGTGAGTGAGTTCATTAATTCATAAGTGAGTTCATGGGGAAGTGATGAGTTCATTAATTCATGAGTGAGTTCATGGGGAAGTGATGAGTTCATTAATTCATGAGTGAGTTCATGGAGAAGTGATGAGTTCATTAATTTGAGTGAGTTCATGAGATGAGTTCATTAATTCATGAGTTCAAGAAGTGATGAGTTCATTAATTCATGAGTGAGTTCATGGAGAAGTGATGAGTTCATTAATTTGTGCGTGAGTGAGTGAGTGGTTCCCACTGCCTGTGTTACAAACATCCTTGTTGAAAACATTTCTTATGTGGAACCTCATATAAAAGTCACAAACACACAAACAATTATGAATATGTACACATTTTTGGATGCACAATTGGATTTAAAAAATATATTTGGGTATTCAGAAATGGAAAAAGATTTTATCATAGGCATTACACATGAACCTTAATTTGCAATAATCCTCAAAATTATAACATATTAGTGCAATGTTCTAAATTACCAAAATACTAAACCATAATTACTTTTTTACATAAATAAAAATATTGAAAAAAAATATCCCTTTTCAAGCAATATTTAATCTAAATGACATGTAATCTATGACATAATTTGTGGCATCTAAGTATCCATATAAACAAACCTTAATCTCAGTAATCAATCTACATTAACCTGAAATAACATTGTCTACACCTCCTACTTACTTCTGTATTCAATAAGCCTAAGCAGTTCCTAATTACATACAGCTAATGGGCTAAAACAACAGATATCACTTGCCTGCTGGTTAGCGTCAAGAATCAATGGACAGTTGATTCTCATCCAGTTTGTGCAACTTAAGGTTTGAACTAGCCCCAAACCTTAAGATAACATTCTCATAATGTTAATCCCCAAAACGGTTGGTTTATCAATCTGTCTTTGTTGTCATTGGTGAATTGACAGAACTGGTACTTTAACATGTAAGATGGGATAAATATTGGTCTGGAACAAAATTCAAACACTTAATGGCATGGCGGGCCGAGTGCAAAATATGCACCCTTTTTGGGCCAATGAGTTATGTACTCGCTTCTGTTCATCTCAATTGGGTATCCTAATTTTCCTTTGAGTAACCAAATAAATTGTAGTCACTTCACTCAGGCTCAATTGGGTATTTTGCCATTTTCCATTAATTTTAAAAATATAAAAAAGTTTAAAAATTGGAGTTTGTTATTTATATTTGATCTGTAATATGAGAAATGCTAAGAAAGACTGCAAGTTGTCAAGTTCATGTCCTGACATAGAACCTCTCAATATACCTCAGTTATTTTATCTATCCACACGTACGCAAGCTAAGATTTGACACTTTGATCCACTGCTTATCTGTACCTCTGCATTATGTCAGGAATTCGGCCCTCATGTGTGAAACACGTAGTCATGTCGGAAAGCGCACATATATATCAAAATAATAATAATAATCATCATCATCATCATTAAAATCATCAATTTAAAGATTCTTGTTCTCACCTTGCTAGGAACATGTTCACTTCCTGAGAAGTCTCTGTACGCTCATTATGTGTGTGTGTGCATGTGTGTGTGTATTTGTAGACTACATATATTTAAGATGTTCATATAAATAAATCAGCGTATCAAAGTCTTCTCCTTGTCTACATGGTGCATCTTCAATAATCTCCAGGGTATACGTTCCGATAAATCTCCACTATACCCTTGATGCATCTACAACTTTGCTCCATGATTTTATTACCTCCCTTGGCTGGCTTTTTATCCAATCAGGTGTCTACGCTGGGAAGTTGAGCGTACCAGTCACAATTCACTTTCTAACCGATTAAACTTGGCAACCTAATTGTTGCAGAGGTACTTGGAAAGAGGTAGAAAGAGTTCTGGCATATGTTATTAAGGTTTCAGACCTGTACATTTTTCTGTATGATTTCTTTCAAAATCTGAGTTGCACTGCGAATAAACCTTCTAGGCTGCGACCACTATGTTTGTTGACACTGGCAAGCTTGGTTGTAACGGCGACTTAGCTGATTGGCTACTGTGAGAATGCGGAGCCAGCAAAGAGAGGTAATAAAATTATCGGGCCGAGCCATAGATGCATCCAGGGTACTGGTGGAGATTTATCGTAACGTATACCCTGGAGATTATCGAGGATGTACATGGTGAAGCTATCCCTTAAACTCATTACGAGTACCCCTTGACACACTTAAATAAAGGTGTATTGCTCAATAGGCTCTATATACTTTCAAAAACGTTTCTACAAAATTTATCTTATCACATTTCATGCAGCTGCAGATATCATAAAAGTTTGAAAAGCATACGAAAACTAAACAGCTAGAAAATCATCAGACATCAAATATCAATCACATTTTTTATGGATTTAATGTCAATGTATACAGTTCCATGAAAAGCTGATAGTCATTAAATTGTCTTTAAACATGAAATGGTGCCAAGGATCTGCTCTAAATGAAAACTGTTATTTTCACAAAATGCAGGACAGCACATTTGACATTGCCACTTTTAAGCCTCATACAGATTTCACAGAAAAAGCTATGCGTCCAACTGCAATCCTTGCCAATATAAGAGGTCTTAAATATAGCACACCTTGCACAAAAAGTAGTACTACTGAAAAGCTAGGAGTCCAACTGCAATCCTTGCCGATATAAGAGGTCTTAAATATAGCACACCTTGCACAAAAAGTAGTACTACTGAAAAGCTAGGAGTTCAATTGCAACACTTGTCAATGCTACCGGTCTTAAATATAGCACATCTCCCACAAAAAGAAGTATTATTGAAATGCTACAGGTCCAATCAAAACTCATGCCAATACAACAGGTCTTGAAAATAGCACACTTCACACAGAAAGAAGTACTTTTAGCTTTCTCTAAACACAACCATATCGACATGCTGTCAAGCTTGATGGTTGTATATGGAGTCAATTATGTCATATATCAGCCATTTGTATTTCTGCTTTTGAAACATTTAATCATAACAGTTTCATGATTATCGAGCCATTCTAACAAAGAATTCATCATGAAACAGTGACCTTTACTTCTTACAGAACTAGTTAAAGATTGCAGTGCTGTTGATGGTATGTTGACGATGACATTTACATGTATACATTTCAATGAATAATTTAAAAATATTTTTAAAAAACATGCACTTTGCATTTTAATTTTTCATGTTTTAATCTCTTTTCTTCTTAAGACTGATAAAATGTATGTCACTGTCATGAAGTATCACAAAAATCGAATCTTTTCTTACAAAGACCTTAACAATGATACCTTCAAAGGCACTTACGTGGTATTTAGTTCAACTCACACATCAGATAAGCTGACCAGCTAGGTACAACAGCCCTAGAAAAATTCACTATATTGATTATTGAAACTTCAAACCTAAATGAATTATCAAAAGAAAATGAAAGACACAATTCAAACTTTTATACTTCAAGAGTGAGTGAGGGTGCTAGGTTTTATCCCCATTTCACCAATATTACAAATATGACACCAGAAATGGGCTTCACACATGTTACCCATTTGGAGAATTGAAACTGGACCTTGTTCATAACAAGCTAACACTTTAACCACTAGGCTACCATCCAATCTCATTTTGATTGAATGTGTGAAAGTTGCTTAATGTCCCATTAGGAATTTTGCCGATATTAACAGTGACATTTATTAAAACCATACTAGCAAGATAATGATCAAAAAAGCTTTTTTCATGCTTTCAAACAACATATCAGAATGAAGATGCTCTAAACTAACACTTCCCACCTATTGTCAACTTAATTAATCAGACATATCTTCTGACCCAAATTTTAAATTTTAATTAAGCTTCCAACCCCAAGAGAAAACAGAAAGTTAACCAACTGACACTTTCAACCATAACAGCCAAAAGAAAATTAACCCACTCGCACCTCCAATCATAATAGCCATCGAGTATTAACCAACACTTATTTGCAATACAAAGTTATCAAATATTCACCAGTCACTTCCTACTAACACAACCATCTGATCATTAACCCAACTTCCAATTCCAGACAGTGGAATAAATGGAAAATTAAACAGACTCACAATAATAGACAGAAAGTTAACTATACCTACACCTCCAACCCATAAATAGTCGCCCGGAACAGACTATTGATGGCACATACCAGCCATCAAGATAGCCTCTCATTCACCTATACATGAAGTCACCACATACCATTTGTTAAAGGCCCCTAATTTTACATAAATACCAGCGCTGTAGGCAAGTCTGGAGACATTTATCTGCAGAGATCTACAAAACATATCCCCCCAGGGTAGATTTGTACTTGTCTGGAAATCACTCTGGGGGGAAATGGTTCCTACTGGAGGGTGGGGAATGGGGGAGGCATCAGGAATGTTATGTTTTTTTAAGAGCTCTGTGATCTGTATAGACTGTTCACAGAGCAACCCACTACTTATGCCAGTCTCATATTGCTATTATATGTGCGTCCCAGACGTCACTAATGACTCCTGTGAACATCATGAAAGGACGTAAGGAACTATTTTTATGACAGTTTCACAGACAATTCTTACCATTGATAAAATCCCTGTGCACGTAAGCAATGTCGCACTCTGAAACAACATCATCCGTCTTCTCAACTTCTTCAGCTTTCAATTCAGTTTCCATGACAACAGGAATGCCTTCCTTGCATGTCAGAGAACAATCACTAGCGGTCATTGTAGGTGCATGGGGCACCTCCAGCCTACAAACGCAGTTTCCAGTTTCGTCAGAAGCCTCAGAAGTACGTTTCTCCCCCACTGAAGTCTCAGTGGTCACCATATTTACATTTTCATTATAACCAAGTGGGCACTGACTTACACGCGGAACAGAAAGGGTAATCTCGTTTGTCACAGATTTAATCAAGTTCCTTCCTTCTCCCAATCTCTTATGTGGGTAAAAATTGGCACCAGTGATATCAGGTATCCATCTTTGAGTCTTACAAGAGGAACATGACTGTGACAGGTTTCTGGTTTTATCACTGACAGTGTGATTATGCTTGGCTTTGATGCTATCTCCAGGTTCAACTATCGCAAGACTGCTGGCACGGACGGCGTATGGTTGATGGCTGATTTGTGGTAGCTGGCCTGCCCTGTCAATGGAGGATGATAAATCGTCTCCATAAACGTCAATCTCGCTCCCATCTCTTGAATTCTGTCTGGTATGTGCATGAGCTCCAGTGAAGTCACCCAGTCCAGAGATGCCCTGATCCCAACACTCATCTGTTGTGTGAGAATAGGAACAAAAGGCAAGCTTTCGTTGAACACTTTCAATATGAGATCTGTCTGAAATTGCACTTGCTCCAGCTGAAGGTGACTGAGAATCTTTGAAGTAAACTTTATTACATGAACACGAAGTAGATTTGCAATCCATTCCTATACATAACACATCAGCACTTTCTGCCCTTGCAATGCAATTTAAAGGACGGGTAATACAATCAGACCGATTTTTCACCACTTTGGCCAATAAGTCTGTATTACCAACAGTATTCCTTAACTGAACACCCTGTTTCTCTGATGAAGACTTATCTATTCCATCATGACGTAAAGAGCCTGGCGAAGAATGGCTCTCGGGACTCCCTTTTCCAAACGAAGTACTTGATGAAAATAAATAAGCCTCCTCTTGAACTGCTAAAGTTGCTTTCGGAAGTGTAATTGAAAAATCATCCAGTTCATCTATGGTGGCTTTTGGTGCACGTATTTGTGTCGTCTGATTGTCAAGCAGTTCTGAAGAGACAATTCTGGCGTGAAATTCCGAACACGGTAAGGACACACTCTCATTATATTCACTTTTCTCCGATCTAAACTGATAAGGTACGGGCGACACATCAGCGCATACAATCTGTTGGAAGCTTGGTGTCGTCTGCTCTTCAGAAGCGTCCACGCATGGTAATACCGGAGCACTTTCGGAACGCTGTATGACAACCTCCGGCTCGATTTCACACTTTTCAATTTCCAAAGTTGATCCATCGCTTGACAGTCTCACAGTTATTTTAGATGTCTTGTACCCGGGGGAGTTATAAGTCGCAGTTGTCGTCGAAAAGTCACTGAACTCCGTTGACGGATGACAGGCAGCCAGCGATGTAGAATTTTTCACCTGGGTCGGGAAACCGCCTGGTCTCACTCTCCTGGAAAACTTCCCCGATCCGAAATGTGCTCCAAATCCACCTCCCATCGCCTCTGCCGCTCGGATTTTACTTGAGGCATGCTTACTTGGGCGGCATCCCATTCCACAACCCCAACCAAGGCAGGATGGGGAAGGTTTGATACACCGAGGCTAGCAGCCGACGCTTAGCCATCGGTAGATACAGACATATCGATTCGTTGACAGCCGCACTACTTTCCTAACCACGAATGGCAACCGACTGAGTGCTGAGGATTGATTCTCAACTCTGCTTCTCTGATTTAGAATTTCAAGACTCAAACGCCGTAGACAACTCTTTTAAATCTGCTACTTCTTCTTAATAATAATTACGGAAGATTCGATTTCAACAAAGGGAAAACGACGACATTGGGTCTCTTCCTAATGCGGATAGACAGCTGTTTCAATGCCGCTTATGGATTTTGAGTTAAAGGGAGTTCGGGAATCTTGTTTCAGTCTTTGTATAAAGGACGGATGGTCTATGGCAACTGACGTATGACATTGAATCAAAGTTGAGAAAACTATAAGAGGATAGGAAGGATACGACCTATCCGATTTTAGTGCAGTGTTATGGAGTAGTATTGAACCGACGGGTTCATGCGTACGATTTACGTACATAACATTACCAGATTGTAGATAACATTGCAAAGAGGTTCAGAAATGTATCATTCAGCGCCCTCTCCTGTCGGATTTCAATAGACGTGTTTACATCTGACTTATTGCTTTTGAAAACATGATTCGTGAAGACTTGACCAACGGTGCCACTAAATGGTAAACGGATGAAATGGTTCGTGTATTAACACACATGACATTTAATCTTCAACTTTCTCGTGGAATTTTTTTTTACGTTTTCCATGGGTTCGTTTCTGTGTGAAGCGTAGCAATATTCCAGCTGTATGGTGGCGTTCTGTAAATAATTAAATCAGTACCAGACAATCCAGTGATTGACATGGACATCGATCCAGACAAGTCTGACAGCACCATGTATTTGCTTGCCTCTTGTGATCGCAATAGGTTGCTAGGTACACGTGAAGATAGGAGTTAGAATTGGTCTTCAGCAACCCACGCTTGTCGTAAGAGGCGACTAACGGGATCGTTTGGTCAGGCTCGCCGAATTGGTTGACACATGTCATCGTATCCTAACTGCGTAGGTCATGATGCAAATCACTGGATTGTCTGGTTTTCACACTGGAATATCCACAGACATACGTCGTATAGCTGGAATTTTGGTGGATGCTTCGTTAAACAACAAACAACAAAAAACAACCAAAAAAACCCAATACATTCTAACCCCGAATACCAACAATACTACGTATTTCCTATATTCGAATGTCTTACAACGGCACAACAATAAAAGTCTGTCCAATGTAGACACCGAGGCAGTCCCTTTTCAACTATGGGGCGGTTGGTTAGCCCAGTGGTTAAAGCGTTCGCTCGTCACGCCGAAAACCCGGGTTCGATTCCCCTCATGGCTACAATGCATGATGCGCATTTCTGGTGTCCCCCGCAGTGATATTGCTGGAATAGTGCTAAAAGCGGCGTAAAACCTCATTCAGTCACTTTACACTCTGCACCTTCCTCTACCTTAACAAGACATCGTCCAGTCTAGTTCACTGCTTGTATATATGTGCTCTGTCTTCTGATGAGCGGACTTCTCGGAGAACCAGAATCATTGGCACTAGCAGATATCATTTATGGTTTACTTCCATTTTAGCACTTTTAGTGATGACAAAATATCATAAGAGGTCGAATCTGTGATTCCAATCTGGGTGACAGGATCCTGCTTCGCATAAGGGACGCAACTCAGCAAGGTGAAATACTGCCATCCTTGCCACCACATCAATTGAAATATACTCATGCCAATAATGGTTGTCACCCTCTTCAATTTTTAATTGGAGAGGGGTGTGGGGTGGAGGTGTGTGGGGATGGGGTGGGAGGGTCGTGACAACCATTATTGGCATGAGTATATTAAGAAACTTTTGTATTTAATTTCTGTTCTGAGAGCTGATGTACAAAGCAGCCATAGCGTTACGACAGTCTTAAGTCTATGTTAAGGTATGTTACGATCACAGTGCGAAGATCGCTTTGTACAACGGTACCCTGCGTGTCAGGATATACGTGAAACAATATACCACGAACCTTTAAGGGGTATTCTAATGGAATTAATGTAGCAGCGTCCAAATGGTCAGTAGAAAAAAAATCTGGAAAAACGGAAACTATTACTAGAAAACAGTCTGGAAAAGAAGAAAGAAAATATTCCATGGATAAAATATGTTATTACATTTACCGACATGGTACAAGACCCGTGAAGATGCGAGTTAGAGTTATTCTTGAACAATCCATGTTTGTTGTAAGAGGTGAATAACTGTACCGGGTGGTCAGGCTCGCTGTGTGTCTGTCTGCCTGTCTGTCTGTCTGTCTGTCGACCCCTGAAGATCCAGGTTAGAATTGGTCATGCTTGTCATAAGAGGGATCGGGTGGTCAGGCTTGCTGACTTGGTTGACACATTTCACTGTATCCCAATTGCATAGATCGATGCTCATGCTGTTGATGTGTCTGTTCCAGACTCGATTATTTACAGACCACCACCACATAGCTGGAATAGTGCTGAGTGTGGCGTTACAACAAACAAACCCAGCCAAACCAAACCAACCCAAACCTACGTGGTACAAACTGAAGACAATGCTGTGTTGCTTCAGCTGTCGTTCTGTAACGCTTCAGCAGAACTATCGTTATGCATGTAAGCCGGCACAATCAGGCTAGTCGTTAGGAAAATGGAACCAGTTGGTTTTTGAAAGACAGGCGAAAGAAATTGCTTATTTAGCAACCGAAGCCTATACAGAGCCCCTTTTCCAGATGCTACAGCCGTTCTATACTTTACTACAGACGGAGATCCTCGTAGCGTTATACCCGCTTTGTGAAAAGTATCCTAGATCCCCAGCTGAGCTCTCGGATTGTGCAATACGGGACAGACTATTTTGGTATGGATTTCAGAATACTGTTCCAAAATAAATTGGTGAAAAAGAAGTCAGGTTTTTACGAGGAAACAAACCACCTGTTCACAGGACAAGCTTGGTGGTAGAAAAATGATTTTGTTTGGTTGTTGTTTAACGCCACACTCAGCAATATTCCAGCCATAACGCAGTGGTCTGTAAATAATCGAGTCTGGACCCGACAATCCAGTGATCAACAACATGAACATTGATCTACGTAATTGGGATACGATGACATGTGTCAACCCAGTCAGAGAGCCTGACCACTCGATCAAGTTAGTCGCCTCTAGCGACAAACATGGGTTGCTGAAGACCAATTCTACCCCGGATCTTCACGGTTTTATTATGTTTGGTACCTCCCAATCTCTTGATTGACATTGATAAGATCCCGTGTGTGCTGCCAGGAACACAGCCTTTCTGACACTGTGGGTAATACAGAAGACTGCAGTAGTGGGGAGTCTCCACATTCTCCGGAAAAGTTCTTGGTGGATTCAACTAGGCAGAGTTTCCTGGGAGAAGGCCCATTCGCTCTCTGGGCTGCATGTAGAGGTGGCAAGGGCCCTGAGCTGATGATGAGCCTTACCAGCCTGACTCTGCCAGTGTTACCAAAAACCCTCTGTGCTGCATTTAATTATCTTTATATGTATGATTTTATATGATGTGATGTGATGTGAAATTGGGTTTAACGTCGTGCTTGAGAATATTTTGCTCATATGATGACGTGCATGCGTGTGTATGTGTATGTGCGGCTGCTTGTACTAGCCCAGACTTAAGCTGGTTTTATAGTGCTAGCCAACTGAGATACCATGCCGCAGTGAAGCATGAATACCCCACTCAGACACATTATACTGACTCCGAGCCGACCAGTCCTTGTTGTACCAATCAATGCCGAGCGCCAGGCAGGGACCAACAAGTACCATATTTTAACGTCTTTTGGTATGACGCGGTCAGGGATCGAACCCGGGCGGACGCTCTAACCACTACACCACGGAGGAGGTCGATTTTATATGAATCAGTGTTAATTGTGTTGAATAATCAAAATGATGTAACATGATGATAGTGTTCAAGTTGTGGCCAGCATGTAAAGGGGCACAAGGCTCGCGGTTACAGCGAGGTCGAGTTCCATTGATAGAACAGTGGCTGCTGTTGTCAACATTTGAATCACGTCATCAGCGTATAGCGAGATGTGTTTGGTAGCGTTAGAAATCTTGAAATCTGTAGCTATCCAAAACCAGTATTGCCAGGCTTGAGAACAGGTCTTTTAGGGGCGTTTCCTTAATAACCATGTAAATTAAGAAAGAGCACTACAGCTACATATAAATGGATAAATCTTCACAGTGAATATGTGAATAAATATTTTATCGTTTTTGAAAGTCCTTGTGTTGCTCTAACCATGCAAAACGGTAAAGTCAAGGTCATTGCTTTGTGCATATTATTACTTGAAATTCAATGTTTTATCTCGCATAGTAACTGAATGCATGACATGTACATATTTATGTCCTATATTTAGCTAGCTGAAGACTGACACAGGTTTATAATCCATCTTAGCTCAGCGAAAGTCGTAAGTCAGCGTCAAGGTATGGAAGTTACGATCACCTTGGCTCAAGGACAGACGCCCGAAGTGGTATACAGAATTTCTGCAGGTGTCAGCCATCTTGACTTAACAACTTCACTTCTCTTCTTCCCAAGTCTGTTTTCTCCACACAGCATGATGTGACTCATCTCAGTTGCTGCTCAAGACCAGCTACGCCCACGGACCCTAAGTCTGTATGAAAGGATTTTGAGCTGCTATCACAAAAATTTGAATAGAAATCCTCTCCTTACTATTCGTTTTTTTACACTGGACAGGCGATTTGAAGCCAAGGCTCGTTTAATGATGCAATTAAGCCGGCGATGTTATCACTGCTGTTGTTCTACTAAAGTTATCTGATCTTGCTACTGTTTGTTAGGTTTTTTTGCTTCTAACTTGACCAAGGTTTGCCACAGGTACTACCGCTATAAGTGATGATGCTACTCTCCTGTTACTGCTGTTTTTCTAGTACCAGTAATTCCTGTACCGATGCCAACAACTGCCACAAGCGTTTGCGTTAATGCTACCTCTAAAGTGATGACGCTACTGCTACAAGTGATGACGCTACCGCTATAAG